GTCAAGAACTGACATCTAGTCCAGCTTCAAGTCCTCGGTCCATGTTGTCACTCATATGGGACATCATTCGTCGAAGTGTGTTGTTCGAAAGTTTGAATTCGGCCATAACCGATTCCAACTGAAATTCCAATGGCTCCTGAGAAATAATTGAAAAATGCTACTGCTACCACTGCACAACAATCACAATCAGATTTCACTACTTCAGAAGCACAGTCCACGATGGTTGTTCACGAGGAAACAGTCAAAGAGCTCGTTGATAAGCCGCACCTTCTACATGAAAAGAGCTTCAGGAAGGTACGAGACTTAAAAAGGCATGATGTTTGTCCATGTCCGCCCATGTGATCATCATGGACTGTGCTTTGAACAAGCGTTTATAGATATCCCAAGGAACATACGGAAATGAACTCGTGCTCGCCGAGACGAGCTTTGCCGGCAACTTTTTTAATGTCCCTCTTGACGATTCTCTTCTCTTTGTCTTCATGCTGATGCCGTCTTCTATGACTCCACGCCCTGAACGATCAACATTAATTTTTCGCTGACCCAAAGATATTTCATTAGCGTATTGGTATGTCCGTCGTACGATTACTCTAGGCTGTAAATCACCGCGGAATCAGGCCATGAACGCGCCATGACGAGCCGATGCCCCGACTTGGTTGTTCTTTGGGTTGACTAATCAACAACAACGATCCTTCACTGGTAAATATAAAAATAAAAACCGAAGAGTCACCCAAATAACTGGCCAAAATGGTAAGCGTGAAATAACCCGAGAAAAGAGTGAATAAATCACCAGTAAAATATAAACATTCGGATCAGTTGGCTGGGTAAAGACTGTTTACTATCAGAAATTGAGAGTACCAGCGACAGCGGTAACAAAAGCGACCCCAAAAAGCGAGCTGGCTGCTTTTAAAAAATACGAAAACACTACAGGGGGAAAATGTCCTTCTGAAATTTATACTGGGTCAAGCCCGAAGTCAAATCTTATTCTTTGACTCATAGGTCCTTCTAAACCCAAAGTTGCGAGCGATAAGCCCAGAATGCCCCATCTTAGCCAAGCTGCGCCTAAAATATACTAAAGAAGGTTTGGTTGACGCCGGAGGCCATCTGAGGCGACCAAAGAACTATGCAGCCCTCGGACCAAAGCTTTGACCGGATCCTTTTTGAATATTCTTTGCGTAGTTCAGCTGGGATGGGATTTGGAAAGCTCCTGTAAACTAACAGAGAATTTTGAAATTACACGAGTTTCATATTGAAATCACGAGTCAATTACTGCCCCGTCTTCACCCTTTTAAAAAAATCCTGCACTGTTGGCTTGTACCAATAACCCGGTCTGAAGATAAGGGACCTGAATAAAACAAGTGAGGTATTGATCCAGACTTCAACGACGGACGGGTTCACGGAAGGTGCTCCACTGGATGCTGCCCCATCTTCCCAGTTTTTGAAAATTAAGAGCGTAGGATGCTATTGAATGAAAACGAGTGGAAAGCTGATTTGTACTGAAAGTGGTGACAAGACAATTTACCTGTACGAGCAGGCCAGCTCTAACGCTCCAAGCATGATGGATATAAGGTTTCAGCGCAGTCTGAAACTTGGGAGGTTGTATTCAAAGAAAATTGATTGTAGCTGTTGAAAAAGGAAACGACAAAGTACGACAAATAATACTGAAATAAAAGTACGAGAAATAATACAGAAATAGCAAGCGAACCAAATTTGCAAAAAAAAACCCAAGGAAAATGGAAGGAAAAGTGCAGAAAAAGAGCTAAGATTCCGCCGTTGATGGTGCCCTTTTGACCAACCCGACCCGACACGCATTCTACTTTCACGCAGAGTAGTAGTGGCTCATTAAGTGCGATAGAGTCTATGCAATGGTTTGCGAGGCCTAGATGTACAAGTCAGTGTTTTGGACTCTCAGATGGCAGAGTTTGGTACCAGTTTAATGACCCGGGAGGGAAGAAGACCTCGATGGCCTGGGTGAGAGAAAAGCCGGGATCTGACCGCCGGGCAGCTCGCGTGGTGAGAGGGCACTTCCCATTACACCACCTTCACCTCTAGAAAGGCGGCGGCACAGCATCTAAAAAAGGTGTTACAGAAAAACGAGCGGTAAACGTTTCAAAGAGCGGTGTTACAGGAAAATAAAGCGGTAGAACGTTTTCACTATGATAACTGCCGTTTAGCGCCGCAGTTCGCGTCCTAAAAGTTACCATAAAAATGTAGAGTTTAGGCAGAAGTCAGTGGAACACACTCGCCGGGTGAGTGCTACACATTACGCCCACAAAACCGCTCTCACCCTTTTAATAGCTTTCATCTCTCTATGGCTTTTGTCTGATTCCCGCCTCAGAACTGAGGATTTGTTCATGACTGAGTGCTCTTGTAATAAGTAAACAATTCCTACTCATAAGTGAAAGGATCAGTTCCTCAAATGAAACTACAGTTGTAAACCAAAAATCACAAAAATGCGAATTTTATTTGAGTAACTGTGAGAGAGTTCACTAAAGTCGTCCCTATCAGAATGGTTCAAGTTCGAATAGTCAAATGGAAAAAAGGAAAAATTAGAATAGACATATGGGGAAAAAATCCCGTCGCTAGCTACGACCAGCTTTCAAAAACACCAATGATGTCAAAGGCAGTTTCGTTTCGGCGGATCTGTTTATAGTTTGTTTTATTCAATTCAAATGTCTTTTCCAGAACAGTTTTGTCCAGTGAGTAGAGGCAAAGCGAACCATTTTACCTCTTTATTACTTCCATAGTTATTTTCTCTGCCCTCTTGTTCACATTAGCTGAACACTAAAAGTGATATTAGAAGTCAAATGGCATTCGAAAAACAGCTACGATTCTGAGTGGAAGTAGGGTGCGTGGCTCATACTAACGCTGGATTTGTCAGCGCCGAAAGCTTCAAATATTCACAGTGGTGGACCCCAATCAGCATAACATGACGTCTTCTCGTCTTCTCAAGCCGTGAAGCATCTTTCCATGACGAACACTGACCGTAGCTTGGGAACCACTTACAAGGAAACCCCAACAGGTCGATCTGGCCATTTACAATGAGATGTACACCTGCGTAAGCGCCTTGTTACAGTGAACTCGAAGCATCTTTCAGAATCTATGGAACGTTTCCGTGAGCAGCGTTGCGAAGATTTTCTCCCGCACTGTCATACGCACTGGCGCACGGAAGCGCCCTTCATAAAAACGGAACAACGGACAACTAAAACTCGATCCCTTCAGTCGCGAAAATTTTCTGTTTTTCTCAGCGCTCTCAGGCCTGCATGTCGTTTTCTGACCAATCTACCCTCATACATCCCACTTTTCATGCGTAATAGGGGGCTCATCCACACCGGTTTCCTCTCTTTTCAAAAAAAAAATTCAAAAAAAATTCAAAAAAAAATTCAAAAAATCTTTTCTCGCGACACGTTTTTTTTGTACCTCGCGATGTTGGCAACCGCTGTTCCTTAATTCTTTGGGCTTTGACCCCTTTCCCAGCAGTATCCCTTCCCAGAGGTTTTAGTTGCCACGTGACCCATAAAAAATGTGGTCTAGTTGCCCTGACGAAAAGGCAGCTGTAAGAAAAAAGCACGCGTAAAAACTTCCACAGAAACGCTCGGCAAACAGGGTGCAGCAATGTGATGTGTGAAATGTGGTGTCAGTGCGCCTCCCCCCTTCCCGGTGAGACCCTCCTTCCCCAACACATACCTACCACCTTCCTACATGTTCCCAGCTTCCTACCAGTTTTTTCCCGAAAATTTGCTACTTTCTCCCCAAGAATTTCCCGTCGAGCGGGGGGGGGGAGGGTGTGGGCGGGGGAGGGGAGGAGGGGAGGTTACAGCAAATGTGGAACAGGAAAAACCACGAAAAGTCAAAAATTCCAAAATCACAATACGACCCTCATCTCCCAACAGCGACCAAGTACGGATCCGCTCCTCCGCCAGCCAAAGTACGCTCCTGCCCCGCATGTGTTTCCGCACAACGATCCTGTCCTGCAAATCCAGAGAAATAGATTGAAGGCTAATGCGTTGTTGTGGAGCCTCCAGAATTTCGTCTTTCGAGCTGCATTTTAAATTGGCCCAAATCAAGATCTACTAAAAACTTTGTAATATTAGGTAATTCAACATCCTGATCACGAGTATGATACTCATTCTTGGCGCTGGCGCCAAGAGAGGACACTACGATTACCTCCTGGGCTCAGCCTTAGCAGAGCGCAGGTAACCGTAGTGTCATCCATTAGCGCCAGCGCCAAAAATGAATGTCATATTCGTGATCAGGATGTTGAATTACCCCTATATACAAGTTTTTAGCGGATTTGGTGATCTTGCCACTTTTAAAATGAGCTCGAAGACGAAATTTCTGGAGTCCAAACGGCATTAGCCCGATTTGGACCTCACCGTCTAGAACGTGCGTTAAAACGGTTCACCATAATTATTCAAATGTTTCGGATCGACTGTCGCCGTTCCCTTGATTAAGTCTAGCCCCACATGACCCGTTTCCCTAAGATCTAGGCGCACCTTCCCTTTAAAACGTTTATATCGTCCACTCATTCGTCCTTTTAAAACGACTATCAGTCGAAAGACGTATGTAATATGCGACAAGTCGTCACTTCGATGACGACTTCCCGATTCGTTTTTTTTTCGCCGCTGTCGTTACTGCCGCCGACAAAGTCGTCTGAAACCTGACGCCCACACGTCGATGTAAACGTCTGTGCAACGGGCTGATTATCATCGTAGCAAATCGATTATTTCCTCGCCATCTATCAAAACGTTCATTTAATCCAAGAAAAGCATAAATGCCATTGAATATGAAAAAACCATTGCCATAGCATAAATTCCATTGAATATGGAAAAGAGCACGAATTGCCGAGATTGGTCAGTTAGATTGGGACGCGCCATGCATCTGCTCTACATTCCCGACTGAGGAAACCCTTGAATAGGTACAAAACTAGTTGAATAATTCCCGCAATGTTCACCTTGGTATTTTTATCCTTGCAAACAGCCTTCGCCCCATTAATCGCCCCAGAAGTAGCGAAATGGCTTTTTCTTAAGGACTCTGGAAAAAATGTGATGTTCAAGCACTGGGTCATTACTTGGGTCACTTCCACCGACAAAGATTGGAACTTTAGCACTGCTAATCTTTTAGCAGGGTTTCGATCTCTTTTGTTCTACTATTAAAACGTGGGTATAGCTCTCTTGTTGTTCACGGCCGAGATTGATCGGTCCCGCTTGGATGCGCCATGCACTTGCTGCACAATCTTAACAAAGCACTTTAGTTGGCACAAAAGTAAACGAATTAGTTTTCGCGGTGTTCATCTAGGAATTTTACTTCTGCAATAAAAATTCCTTTCAGCTAATCGACCCAGAAGTGTAGACGTGGCCGCTCTTCCACAGACACCGAGAGGAAGCGGGAAAAGATGTCAGCCATTCGCTTGTTACAGTTGAATTAAATCCATG